CAGGAGGGTCCTGAGGGTACCGTGCGTGGGGACTTGGGGGGCCGATGTTGTGGAGCCTGGAGAAATACAGGAGGGGGGAGATTCGGGCACTGGGGGGTGGGGGTGCTGCTGGTACCACGCCAGTTCCCATCTGCCTCCCGAGGGGCAAGGACACCCCCGGGCACCGCCGCCGTGCCCAGGGTGCTGCAGCCCCCCCCATCTCTCCTGCAGGCCCGGAGATCCCCCTGTCCAGCTACCCCCCCGCGGCCCCCCCGGCGCCGTTCCCCGTGGACCCCAAAGCCGGCCCCGCGCCCCCCCAGCCCGGCTTCACCCCTATGGCCATGTACCCCCCTCCCGGGCCTGCCCAGTACCCCGTGTACCCCTCAGGGCCCCCAGTCTACAACCCCACAGGTGAGCAGCGGAGGGGGCGCGGGGACGCCCCGGCCCGCAGGGGCCCCGCTGGGCTGGCAGGGGGTGACCCCCCCGTGTGCTCCCTCCACAGCACCCCCGCCCTACGCCCCGGCACAGCCCAGTTATCCCGGAGCCTGAGCCCCCCCGGGGACCCCCGCACCCGCCGCCGGCCAGCGGGGCCGGGCTGGGGACCCCTGCCTCCCCCCCTGAGGCACTGGGGGGGTGCCCCAGCGCGGGGGGACGTGGCGGCAGCAGCACAGGGCGGCCCTTGTCCTGCACACTGGGCCCTTTGTGGGGGGCCGCCCCCCCGCCTCTGGGTGCCCACGGACCCGGGCACCCGCGGGGGGGTCCCCAGGGGGGTCCCCCGAGGGCCGTGTGCCGGTGCCCCCCTTCACGACCACCTCTGGATTCCCCTCCCGGGGCTCTTCGCCCCCCCCCCAGGGTTGGCATTAAACCACTTCTTGTGCCCACGTGGTGTCGGTTTGGTGGCTCCGGAACGGGGGGGGCAGAACCCCCCCGTCCCCCCCGGGAGCTGTCAGAGGTGGGGGGACATAAACTCCTTCTGCTCCCGGGGCTTCACCACCTCGGAATGTTGTTGGGACGTGCAGGCCCACCAAATCAGCCGCTGGGATGAACCGGCCTGAGAGCGCCACCCCTGCCAGTCCCACTCGAAAATTAGGACATGAAACCACCCCCGGGCACATTTCGGGTGAGAAAACAGCCAATTTAGTGCTGGGAGAGGGGACAATTCCCCCATCCACCCCCCTCTCCTGGTCAGGTCCTCTGGGGGGAAGGGGGGTCACCCCAATGGTTGCTCCTGGTGGGATCCACCCCCCCCAAACCATCACCAGGACTGGGGGGGGGATATTTGGGACCACCTTTGCTTCCAGTTGGGGGGAAAAGCCAGGCGGCCCCCCCGGGGATGCAACCCCAAACCCCACCCCCCATCCCCCCAAAAACCCCTCGAATATCCTGGGGCTGGGGGGCAGCCGGGGGGCACCTCCGAGTTTTATTCGAGTGGGGACTGAGGGGCCAAGAAAAAATAATAATAAAAATTAAGAATAAAAGCCGCGAGGTGGGCAGTGGACGGAGGGGTGGGGGTGTCCCCGCCAGCCCGGGGGGCACACACAGCCAGCTGCGTGGCACGGGGGGGGGCTCAGGGCCTGGGGACCCCCCTGTCCCGGAGGTAGAGGTCTCGGATGTCGGAGAGGCTGCGGCTGAGCGCTGCCAGCGCCTGGGCGATGCCTCGCAGCACCGCCGTGGTCTCCCGCCGGCTCTCGGCGTATTCCCGACGGAATTCCTGCATCTCCAGCACCAGCCGCTCGCCGGAGCGCGCCAGGCTCAGCTCGAGGCTCTCGGGGGTCCCACTCGGCCCCCCCGCCCCGGGGGGACTCTCGGCCTGGCTCAGTCGGCCCGGCTCGGGATCGGGCTCCAGGAGGAGGCTTGGGAGGTCGGAGCCCGGTGGGTCCTGCCGCCCCCCCAGCTCGCCCAGCGCCACTTCGGGGGGCGCGGGGGGCGGGGGGCTTCTGCTCCAGCCCTCGCGGGGCAAGCACCGCTCGGAGCCGCGACCGGGGACGCCGGGAGTGTCAGGAACGCCGGGAACACCGGGAATGCCATCGGGCTCAGTCTTCACCTCCACCGGCTCCTCCTTCAGTGGCTCCTCCTTGACGCCTGTGGTGGGGAGGGGGAGCAGCTGTGGGATCCCTCCCAAGTGACTGATCCCCTTGTCCGTCCCACGTCCTGGTCCCAGTGTCCCTGTCACAGTCCCCTCTGTCCCTGCCCTGGTCCCTCCACCCACCTGTACTGGTCCCGGTGTCCCTGTCCTGGTTTTCCCCACATCCTGGTCCCAGTCTTCGTGGCTGTGTCTCTCAGTCCCTCCATGTCCCTGCCCTGTTCCCCTGGGTCTGTGTCCCCATCCTGGTCCCCCCTGCCCGAAATCCTCCATGTCCCTGCCCTGAGCCCTCTTGACCTGGTCCCAGTGCACCTGACACTGCCCCCGTGTCCTGTCCCTCTACACACCTGTCCCTGCCCTGATGCCCCCCTGTCCCTGTCCCCCCTGTCCCTGTGCTGTCCCTGTTCCCCCACATCCCTGTCCCAGTCCCTCCATGTCCCTGCCTTGGTCCCTTGGACCCATGTCCTGGTTCCCCATGTCATGGTCCCATTGTCCCTGTCCTGGTCCCTCCACACCTCAGTCCTGGTCCCAGTGCCCCGTGTCCCTGTCCATTCCTCCATGTCCCTGTCCTGTTTCTCTGTGTCCGTCCCTGTGTCCCCTCACATCCTGGTCCTTGTCCCCCATGTCCCTGTCCCAATCCCTCCACACACCTGTCCTGGTCCTGGTGCTTCCATGTCCCTCACATCCCTGTCCCTGCCTTGGTCCCCTGGATCCATGCCTGGGTCACCCACGTCCTGTTCCCAGTGTCCCTGTCACAGTCTCAGGATCCTCATACATCCTGGTCCTTTGTCCCCCACATCTCTGCCCCAGTTCCCCTTATCCTGTGTCCTGGTCCCCCACATCCCTGTCCTGATCCTGGTATCCTCCTGTCCTGGTCCCAGTGCCCCTGTTACTGTCTCTGTCACCCACGTCCCTGTCCTGGTCCTCCACGTCCCTGTCCCTCTCTCCTGTCCCTGTGTCCCCCCCCATTTCCCTATGTCCCTGTCCCAGTTCCTCTGTCCTTGACCTGGTGCTCTGTGTCCTGGTTCCCTCAGGTCCCAGTTCAGTTCCCCTGTGTTCCTGTCCCTCCACGCACCTGTCCTGCTCCCAGTGTCCCTGTGTCTGTGTCCTGGTCCCTCACATCTCTGTCCCTGGTCCCCACATCCTGGTCCCATTCCCCTCTGTCCTGTTCCACCCCATCCCAGGCCTGCAACCCATGACATCCTATCCCATGTCCCCATATCCCTGTCCTTGGCCTGCATATCCCTGTCCTGAGTCCCCATGTCCCTGTCCTTGGCCCCCCTGTCCCTGTCTTGGGTGCCCATGTCCCTGTCCTTGGCCCCCATGTCCCTGTCCTGAGTCCCCATGTCCCTGTCCTGGGTCCCCATGTCCCTGTCCCTCCAAACCCCTGTCCTGGCCCCAGTGTCCCTGTGTCCCTGTCCTGGTGTCCCATGTCCCTGTCCTGGTCCCCCACATCCTGGTCCTAGTCCCCCTGTATCCTGGACCCAGCATCCCCTCATCCCTGTCCCATTCCTCCACATCCCAGTCCCATTCCTGGTTTCCCATGTCCATGTCCTTGTTCCCCACATCCCTGTCCCTTCACTGCTTCACCCCAGCCCCAGCCCCCCCATGTCCCTGCCCCATCCCCTGGCCCCCATCCCATTCCCGTGTATCCCTGCCCTGTTCCCGCACATCCCCATTTCCCCGTCCCCATCCCATTCCCCCCATCCCCATCCCATTTCCCCCATCCTCATCCCAGTCCTGTTTCCATTCCCATTATTCCTATCCCGTTCCCCCTCATTCCCATCCCATTCAACCATGTCCCTGCCCCATTCCCCCACACCCCCATACCATTCCTTCCATCCCTATCCCATTTCTCCTGTCCTCGTCCTGGTCCCATTTCCATTCCCCTCAATCCCATCCTGTTCCTGTGTCCCCATCCTGCTCCCTCCATCCCCATCCTGTTTCCCCCGTCCTGGTCCCAGTCCTGTTTGCCTTGTCCCCATCCCGTTCCCCCATGTCCCTGCCCCATCCCCATCCCATCTCCATCCCATTCCCCTCGTTCCCATTCCATTCCCCCTCATTCCTATTCCGTTCCCCCTCATTCCCATTCTGTTCCCCCATGTCACTGCCCTGTTTCCCCACATCCCCATCCCCTTCCCTCTGTCCGCATCCCATTTCCCCCATCCTTGTCCCGGTCCTGTTTCCATTCCCCTCATTCCCATCCCATTCCACCATATCTCTGTCTCGTCCTCATCCTGTTCCCTCCATTCCCATCCTGTTTCCCCTGTCCTCATCCCGGTCCCAGTCCCATTTCCATTCCCCTCATTCCCATCCTGTTCCACCGTGTCTCTGTGCTGTTCCCCTGTGTCCCTGCCCCATCCCCATCCCATTCCCCCGTGTCTCATCTCCATCATCTCATCCCCATCCCGTTCCCTCCATTCCCATCCCATTTTCCCCGTCCTCATCCCAGTCCCATTTCCATTCCCCTCATTCCCATTCCTTTCCCCCTCATTCCTATCCTGTTCCCCCTCATTCCCGTCCTGTTCCCCCTCATTCCCATCCTGTTCCCCTGTGTCCCTTCCCCGTCCTCTCATCCCCATCCCCTTCCTTCCATCCCCATCCCGTTTTCCCAGTCCCAGTCCTCATCCCATTTCCATTCCCCTCGCTCCCATCCCGTTCCCTCTGTCCCCACCCCGTTTCCCCCGTCCTGGTCCCAGTCCCGGTCCCTGCCCCGTCCCCATCCCGTCTCCCCGTGTCCCCCCGTGTCCCCTCCGTGCCGTCGCACCCACCGTGCGGTGCCGGTCCCTCCTCTCTCCGCCCGGGGGGTTCGGGGCCGGTCCCGCGCGTTGCCCAGGCGGGCGGGAGCGCGGGTGCGGGGCCGGGCTCGGCGGGGCCGCTCCCGTTACTCCCGTTACTGCCGCTGCTCCCTCCGCTGCCGCTCCTGCCGGGGGCCCTGCCGGCCGAGCCCTGCCGCTCCAGCCGGTGCCGGCTGATCTTGTCCCCGGCGCGGCGGCGGAGCCCCCGCCAGCGGTTCTTCACCTCGCCGATGTCGCGCTGGTGGCGGCCAGCGGCGTTCACCTTGTGCGTGATCCGCCACCAGATCTTCTGCTTCTCGTAGGCGTTCACGGTGCCGGCGGCGGCGCCGAACAGCAGCGGCTCGTACCGGAGCACTTCGCTCATCAGCACCTCCAGCTCCTGCAGCGTGAAGTTGGGTTTGCGCTTGAGCAGCCCCCGCCGCGCCGCCGCCGCTCCGCCGCCTCCCGCCGCCGCCATGGTCCCCCCGCCGCCGCCG